CCACTCGTGAACTATGTCTGGAGTGAGATGATCATCCCAACCAACCTTTTCCAACCAGAGTCGCTGCATGAGGACTTTCGCTTTGATCACTACCGGAGAGAGGAGTCTTAGAGGATCAAACAATTTGGCAACTTCGGAGAGAATGATGCGTTTCGTGACAGCTTGATGGAAAGAGATGGTACCGTGGAAAGAAAACACATCTTTCTGAGAGTTCCAGAAGATGCCTAAAATCTTGGTAGTGCTATCATCAAACGAATGGACAGGCGAGCTGTCCGACTGTGAGAGAGAGGTGCGTGTGAGGTTAGGAGAATAACTTTTCCACTTGTCAAGTGGTAAACAGGCGRAGGAGCACATGTCCTCTAACTAAGATGCTACGGCATTGAGTTGATCAATAGTCTCTGCCCCACCTGATATGTCGTCAACATAGCTCCCCTTGAGAATAGGGTTGACTGCAAAAGGATACTTACGACCTTTATCTTCAACGAGCTGTTTAAGAATGCGACAGGCTAGATAAGGAGCCGAGCGAGTACCGTACGTGACAGACGTAATCTGATATGCCTGAACTTGAGATGATTCATTACCCAGAGAATTCGTTGAAGGTCATGATCTTTGGGATGCACTTGGATTTGGCGAAAAATTTTCACAATTTCTGTTATGAAAATGTACTTGTGCTGCCTGATCCACAGCAGTATATCGAAAATGTCTGTTTGAGTCTTCGGCCTAGTGTGCATAAGATCATTGAGAGAAATATCGGTTGATGACTTGGCTGAACCGTTAAATACTACCTTCAGCTTGGTGGAGGAACTTTGCTTGCGCCAAACTCCGTGAAGCGGGAGATAAAACGCCTGAGATGGCTCGGGAGCTTCGAGAGGAAAAGGAACCATATGTCCTAAAGACTCATATTCTTTRARGAAWTCAGWGTARGTCTCCTTGAAATGCCTATCGGTTTCGAATTTCTTKRRAAGTCTTTCAAGGCATCTCATGGCAAGAGACCTTGAATGCCCTAAGGTGAATATGTCTTTCAAAAATGGCAGGCGAACCATGTAACGACTTGTTGGCAATCGAGAGTGCGTATCAACAAAGTGCTGCTCGCATTGTGATTCAGCGAGACTCATAATTAAACCGGGGGAAGATGAGACTTCTTCCTGAACCCAGAATTTCGTTGGAGCTTTATCGAGAGATTCGTTAGAGATTGCATGGCAAATTTTCCGAGGATCGACCTTGCTCGGGCTGGGAGTCGCGCCTAAAACTGCCCAACCGGACCTGGTGTGGAAAGCTATAGAATCTAAGTCGCCTCGTATAACAAGGCAAGAGGACTTGATAACTCTTCTGAGATTATCAGCACTAACGAGAATGTTAATGTGATCTGGAGTGAGAAAGTCGGGATCCGCTAACTTAAGGAATCTGAGATGAGGCCAATCTTGCTCTGATATTACAGACGACGGCAACTGAGATGTGATTTTTGGCAAAATGAATGCCTTAAGATGAACCTGTGATGACGAGTATGTCGATTGGAGGACCAAGGAMACTTGACCTTGGGTCGCTCCTGGAGATGAACTACCCTCACCCTGAATAGGAATGTTTCCTGGAGAACGGCTAAGCTTTAGCTTAGCTATGATTTTAGAAGAAACTA